AATCAGAAAAAGAAAAACAAATGAATCTAAAAGCCATTAGAAAGAGTAAATATGGCCTCCCCAGTGGCGCAGCGGTTGAGCGTTGGGTTGAGAAGCTGCCCGCGGCCTCTGTGGAGCCAGTGCGATCCCCAGCTGCTCCCTGGCCATCGGAGGAGGGTTCCAGATGGCACACAGAACTCTCCTGCCGCCCACTGCTCCCCTCAGCAGTGTACTTCAGTCCTTCTGCTTGTTCTGCCCCCCACTCTGGCTCTGGTGAATTCTCTCACCCTCCCGCACTTCTGACTGTACCCAGTGCATGTATAAACAAACAAACAAGCAAACAAACAAACAAATAAATAAATAAAGCATGCCTCTATAAAAAAAAAAAAGAATCTGTCTCTGTTTTTTTTTAAAAAAAGAAAGAAAGAGTAAATAATAAAAATTAAAGTGGAAATAAATGAACTAGAATTCAAAAACAGCTCAAAAAACCAATAAAACCAAAAGCTGGTTCTTTGAAAATGAAGTAGACAAACATTAATTAGCTTCACTAAGTGAAAAAGGGAGAAAACGCTAATAGAATCATAAACAAAAGACAAGAAATCAGAAAGAAAACAGACATCACAGAAATACAAATGATTGTAAGTGATTACTACAAACATCTTTATGCCAATGAACTGGATAATCTAGAAGAAATAGACAAATTTTTGAAGCATGTAAGTTTTTAATATTAAATTAGGAGGAATAGAAAACCTGAACAGATCAATTATAAGCAAGGAAATTGAAACAATAATCAAAAGTCCCCCAAAAAGCAAAAGTCCAGTACCAGCTAATTTCATTAGTGAGTTGTGCCAAACATTTAAAGATGAACTAATACCTATCCTTCTTAAGCTCTAAAAAGAATTGAAGTCTAGGGAATGCTTCCAAACACATGAGTCCCCCATTACTCTGCTACCAAAACCAGACAAACATTTAATCAAAAAAGAAAACTACATATCAATATCCTTGACTAACAGAATGTAAAATCCTTAACAAAATATCAGTCAACAAAATTCAATGATAAAATAACAAGATCTTATACCATGAACACTGGGATTTCTTCAAGGGAAGCAAGGATGGATCAATACTCACTAATCAGTGTAATTCACATTAGCAAAAGGAAAGATAGAAATCATATGATCACCAATAGATGCAGAGAAAGCATTTGACAAGATTCAAATTTCATTAAGATAAAAACTTCCAATAAAATGGGGATAGAAGGAATGTAACACAATAAAAGGCATATATCACAAATACACAACTAATGTCATTCTCCATGGTGAAAAACTCAAAACTTTTCCCCTAAGATCAGGTACAAAGTAGGAAGATTACTTTCGCCACAACTAGCCAACATAGTATTGAAAGTCCTGGCTAGAGAAATTAGGCAAAGAAGAATGATTAAAATTGGAAAAGAAAACTAAAACTATCACTACTTGTAGATGACATGATAATATACATAGAAAACCTTAAATCCTCCACTAACAATCTGTTAGAATCAATTAGTCAGTACAGTGAACTGGCAGACTATAAAACCAATATACAAAATAGTCTGATGTGTTTCTATATGCAACCAATGAACTAGAAGAGAAAGAAATGAAGATAACAATCTCATTTCATCACATCAAAAATAAGGTTAGAAATAAGCCTAACAAAGGAAATGGAAGACCTATACAATAAAAACTATGACATTATTAAGAAACAGAAGATATAAAAAAATGAAAAGATTTCTTGCTCATGGATTGAAAGAATTAGCATTGTTAAAATGGCCATCCTACCCAAAGCAAAGAGTAGATTTAATACAAACTTTATCAAAATTTCAATGGCATTTTTCAAAGAAATAAAGCAAACATGACTGAAATTTATATGGACCCACAAAGAATCCAAATAACCAATGAAATTCTGATGAAAAAGGAAGAATGGAAGTATCACATGACCAGACTCCAAACAATATTACAAAGTTATAGTAATCAAAATAGTATGGTATTGGAATAAAAATCAATACACCAATCAATGAAATAAAATTGAGAACCCAGAAATAAACCAGACCTATGTGGGCAGTTAATTTATAACAAAGGAGACAAGAATATGTTGAAGAGAAAGGAAAGTCCCTTCAACAGAAGGTTAGGAAAGCTGGACAGTCACATGCAAAAGAATGAAAGTAGACCACTATATCATCATGCACAAAATTTAACTCAAAATGTATTACAGACTTGAAAAACCATGATGATGAGATGAGATGATGAGAAAATACTTAGAAACTATAATATGTATAGGAGAAAACATAAGTAAAACACTCCACAACATTGGCATCAGTGATATCTTTGGGAATTTTCCAATGACAAAGGAAACAAAAGCAAAAATAAACAAATGGGATAACATCAATATAAAAAGTATTTTCACAGTAAAAGAAACAATCAGTAAGGTGAAGACACACTTTATTGAGTGGGAAAATATTTGCACATTATACATCTAATAAGGGGATAATATCCAAGATCTACAAATAAATCATATAACTCAATAAGAAAAAAAGAAAACCTGATGAAAAAATGAGAAGAAATAGTCACTTCTCCAAAGAAAACATGCAAATGGCAAATAGGCATGTTAGGGGGAAAAGGATGTCCTAAAGCTAATTCCATACAGGTTTTGTGGACTCCACCCCCACTCCAGACCAAAGCCATCAGGACATTGGGAAAGACAAATCCCATCACCACCAAAGGGAAGGTGGCTGGGACCTGAGGGTGGAGTTAAGCAGCCAGGTTTGGTATAAAACCAGACACATGGACTTTGGGGGGGTCCCCCATTTTGGCTCTCCTCCAGCTCGCAGCTCTAGGCCAGCTCTGAGAGTGCCTTTGGGTTTCCAGGTCGGCAGATCAGGTAGGACGCATTTAAGACTTTATTTCCCTATTTTCTCCCTGAGTTGTACATTTCCTCATTTCCCTTTCCCTTGTAAATAAACCTTTTATTAACCTTTTGTTTGTGCCTGTAGTGGAGTATTAATAAGTCCCTTTTAAGGGCGCGGGTGAGGACCCACAGCCAGGCAACCTGTTTTATATCGGGGCTGCTCCGTAACAGGCACAGCAAAAAAAAATGCTCATTATCACTTATTAGGGAAATGCAAATCAAAACCACAATGAAATACCACATCATACCTGATAATGACTCACATCAAAAAGACCAGAAACAACAAATGTTGGCAAGGTCATGGAGAAAAAGGAAGTCTTAAATATATGGTGGAAATATAGATTAATCCAGCCCCTATGGAGAACAGTATGGAGGTTTCTTGAACTATGAAAAATCGATTTGCCTTATGATCCATGAATTTCTAGGAATCTATGCAAAGTATGCAAAAACACCAATTCAAAGTGACATATGCACTCCTAATCACTGCAACACTATTTACAATAGCCAAGCTATGGAAGCAATCTTAATGTCCAACAACAGATTAGTGGATAAAGAAAATGTGACATACATACACAGCAGAATACTACTTAGTTATAAAAAGCAAGACAAAAATCTTGCCATTTGCAAAACATAGATGGAACTGGAGGAGATTATGCTAAGTGAGATAAGTCAGAAGGAGAAAGAAAAATTCGACACACATGTGTGGAATATAAATAAAAGAATAGAAAAAATTAAAGCCAAACAAGCCCTAGAAATCTGATTGCAGCATTGAGCCTATCCGAATGGAAAGATGGGGAGCATAGGTCAAAAGGGGAGGAGGCCATGAACTATAGTGGAAGATTAAACTGGTACAGTAACATGTCCAATTTGTTGTGGTAACATACATCTGAAGCAGTATGAACCTATTTCCCTAAATCATATAGTGTTGTTAGCTAGCATTACCTCAATAAAAATAATACAATTTAATTTTAAAAACAACATAGTTTTCATTTTGCAGCCTACTTGACCAGTAGATTGAATATTTGAAAACAATCTGCAGAGTGGTAAATTAGCAAAGCTCAATAATATTCAAACATAGTATCAAACTCTCCAGTAATTTCAGTAATGAGTACATAGAATAGGACTCTGAATTTTGGTGGGTGTTAATGTCAGAAGAGCAAGTGACTTACGCAGAGAGGAGGCAGCAAATTGTTTCTACACATTGTTTCCCTTTCTCTACACTCTTCATGTTTCAAGAACTACTATAATTTTTGCAAACTACTCCACTAATTTCCAACAGCTCTATCTGAAATATTGCCAAAAAAAAAAAAAAAGGAAATCAAAAAAGAAAGAGAACAACAGACTATGAAAGCATAAAAGGGTTTTAGAATCCCCTTGTTTCCTGTACCAGTTGTGTCTGATTCACTTTCCCACTGGGGCAAATACGGTGGAAGCAGTGATAGTGGTGACAGCAATGATGGAGATGATGATGATCTAATGCTCTATGGAATGTAATTTTGCATCAGCCATTATGTCAACTAAATTATGTGTGTTGGGCCTCCATGGTGGCGCAAGAAGTTAAATACAGCACCATGAAGCTATCCACAGCCTCTACAGCACAAATTTGATCCCCGGCCAACGAGCTACCCACATGGTGCAGCAGACCTCTCCTGTCTCACCTGCTGCTACCTTCAGCAGTGTATTTCTGTCACTCTGCCTGTTCTATTCCCCACCCTGTCTCTGGTGAATCCTCTCACCAACCCCCGCCCTGCACCTCTGGCCTGTACCCCAGTTCTTGCATGCATAAATAAATAAATGTTTTTAAATAAATAAATAAATAAATAAATAAATAAATAAATAAATAAATAAATAAATAATGTGTGTTTATTCAATTTTGTTCCTAAGAGAAGTTTGTAATGTGAATATTATTATCCCCACTTTGTACAGAGAGAGTGCAGCCCTGAGGAGTTATATAATTTGTTCTTCAAATCAATGACCCAGTAACAAAGAAAAATAACAGATTTTTAAAATTTTTTATTGCAGTAACACTAATGTGTAACATTATATTGGTTTCAGTTGTATAATGGAACCTGTATAACCTATAGCATTATAATTCAACATTTGCACATACTACATTGTGATCACCGCCAAAAGACTAGTTCCTATCCTCAAATCAATCAAACAGTGGTTAAAGAGAATACAGGTATCAGGAAGTGAAAGAAAAATAACAATTGCCCAGATCATAGAAACTCCTGCCCACGTGACAGACAGACACAGAAGACGTTGGAGAGAGTCTTCAATTCCCAGGTTGCTTGCTGCTCCTGCTTCTGTAGCTCTGGGAGGACAGCACAGCTGAGGATCACCTCTTTCCAAGTGCCTTCTGAGAAGTACCAGCATTACAGCCTCTAGAAGGAAACCTTTCACTGTTGGAATTATCACCGTCTAACTTCTGCATCCATGATAGGCTTTGAAGAGAAGATAAGGTGGGGCAGTGGAGCCAGGTGAGCCAATTGTCCTTATTCTTTCCTACTCCTGATGAATCCTGAAGCTGTTACTTGCTCTTAGGTGGGCACTCCTGCTGGCAAGGTGGAGGCGGTTGCACAGGAGGGCATTTCTGCTGGCACAGCTGAGGTGGGCAGGGTTCAGGGCACTTGGGAGGTGGGCAGGGTTCAGGGCACTTGGGAGGTGGGCAGGGTTCAGGGCACTTGGGAGGGGGGCAAGGCTCAGGGCACTTAGGTGGGCACACAGGAGGTGGCTGGCAGGGCTGCTTGCACTGTTGCTGTTGATAAGACATCGTTCTGCAGTCTTAGGATCTGAAAGAAATTATATGACAATGTTCATAAAAATCAAACCAAAAACAAACCCTAGAAATATGACCATAAATTTGAGGCTACCAGAGGGGAAAGTGGAGACTAAAGAGGAGTGGGTGGGCCTCCCTGGTGGTGCAGTGGTTGAGCACTGGGTTGCGAAGCTGCCCACAGCCTCTGCAGCGCTGGTTCAATCTCTGGCCGCTGGGTGAGGGTCCCACATGGCGCACAGACCTCTCCTGCTGCCTGCTGCTCCCCTCAGCAGTGTACTTCGTCACTCTGCCTGTTCTGTTTCCAGCTCTGGCTCTGGTGAATTCTCTCACCCTCCCGCGCTTCTGACTGTACCCAGTGCTTATATAAATAAATAAATAAATCTTTAAAAATAAAATAAAGAGTAGTGGGTGCCCGCTGGACTATGGTGGGGTGCTATGGGTGCCTTGGTGGTGGATGTGGTGACATACATATGAAGAGGTGCAATCCTATGTCTCTGAATCATACACAATTTTGTAAACCAATTTTCACTCAATAAAAATATAAATAAATAAAATTTTGAAAAGGACTCCTAGAGAGTCTTTTGCTCTTTGCTCTTTGCTCATAAATTTTTTTCCAAAGAAAATATCTCTGTTTGACAGAACCAAACAATGATATTTGTATAAAAATAACACTTTCAGGCAGTGACAAAATCTGAAATCGGAACAACCTCACAAGCAATTCTTATTATTATCTCTCAGGAGGTACTAATAGGCTGATTTAGGTACAGAGCACAGGGCCAAGTTCTAATACCCTCTAAGGTATTAGTCTTTGAAATCACAGAGGAAGCTGCCCAAGAGATATAGATAAGAAAAAAAATATTTTGTCCTTTCTTCTTCATATCAGAGTTTCCCTATTCTTTTTCATGGGGGATGCCCAAGCTAGCTACCAAAACCAAATGAAAACACTTTAACATTGTGCCCAGATTCTAAGTTTCATCAAGTAAGAAGCATCAACCCAAGTTCCTAACTCTGGATCCACCAGACTTGCTGTCTCCAGATTAAAGTCAACCAAAAAATAGATAACTCAAGAATTCAGACTCACCACTTCTCCAAAGTAGAGCAGGACTCAAGGACCAGAAGGCTGCTAGTCCTGCAGCAGAGGGCTCCTTTATAAGGCTTGCTGCCCCACCCAGGGGGAGGGTTGCTGCCTAAAATTGGCCTGATTCAATCATTTCCCAACTCAAATGCAAATACATCCATAACTGGCCAGACAGGGATCTGAAAGCAGGAAATGCCCTGTTCCAGGATCTGCTCACTGACATTGCTCTTGACTCACAGAGGCCTTGCTTTAGCTCTCAGCTACAGTGACTTGTGGCAGAGGGAGAATTTAGGGGACTCTCTGGTGTTCAAAGAATTGGGGGAGACAAAGCTAGCTGCTCTGTTCTACTTTTGTTGGCTGCCATTTTGTTGTACGTGTGGGCTTGAAAAGAGTCTGCTTACCTAGCAGCTGCTACCTATTAATGCCTTTCTCTTTATCCCAACTCTTTCTTATAATTTACTTCTGCCAGAGTCCAGCTCCTACCAGGGCAGGGTTGCTGAAGAAAGAGACAGCGTCGGTGAAGGTGAAGGATGAGGGGATGTGGGAGTGAGATAGGGAAGGAATGAGGAGACACAGACACTTGATCAGGGTTCAAGTATCTCCTGCTGAGGGTCTAAGTGGGTCTTTATTTATACATCAGAAATTTTTTATTTGATCATTACATCATGCAATCATGTGATTTTACTTTTACATTGCTTGAGAATTTATTTTTGATCATCAACCAGTGCACAGCCCTCTCTTAATTTTCCCAGTCTATGATTAACTTGGTTACTTGGTTACATTAACTTGGTTACATTATTTCCCTAGGTGATGTATGTTATTCAGAAAATAGAAACAGGTGCTATACACAGTGTGATTTATGTGGTCAAGCTAAAAGATTAAGCAGGCATTGTTAAGATCGAGGGCAGCTTCCTATTTTCTGTATAGAACCAAATGGTCCCGGTACCATGGGAACAGTGTGTGGTGTGTTTCTCTTGGATCATTTTGCCTCCTGGGGCGCCTCAGGGCCCCTTGGGCCACATGGAATCTAGAAGTCTACTAGAGACAAAGAGTCATCCACTGGGATTCAGATGTCCTTGTAGCTCAGTAACCTACACCTTCAACAGAAAGCAAGATTTTTGCTCATAGGTACTCAATATGACATACTACCTACTCCGATATAATTTCTCCTGATTCACCTCTTTTTGAAGAGAAAAAGAGGTCACTACTTCAATTTTTGAAGAAAACTTAGGCATGTTCAAGTTTTCTGGCTTCCTACCCCTTTGAAATCACAGAAAACCCAATCCTATAAGCAATACTTTTCAAACAACTAATTTTATGTACATTATATTTATTAATTAAATGCATATTGTTTGACATAGAATCTACTAGTAAATTCAAGACAATATGGAATCTAGTAATTCAGTCATTAAAGTTAATTGCTTTTCATGTATAGCTTCTTAATCAATGGTAGATATTTTATTATAGTTCTAAAAGTATACTTACTTTTAGAATTTTCCCACATTGATCACAGTAGAATACATGTCAGATAAAACTGTTTCTACTTCTACTTTCTTCATCCAATTTGTCTGTGTGCTAGGAGGTAGGTGGGATGGTTAATTTACCTGTCAATTTGACAGAATGCCGAAAATAAAGCAGAGATATTTGATCCAGCATCACTCTGAGTGTTTCTGTGATGGTGTCTTTGCATGAGATTAATCCTTAAATCAGGCAACTAAGTAACTCAGATTGCCCTATCTAATGTGGATATTATATATGATGTATAATTATGACAAATATAATGGATACTAAGGGAAAAAACTAAAGTTTAGAAAACAGTGTCCTAATATGTTCTCAAATCCTAACAAAGTTTTCATTTCTGCCTTTCAGAGATCTTGCTCTCAAAAATTCTTCTATAGTCCATCCATCAGTCCTGGACTTTTTTCTTTACTATACCCTTGGGCACTAAAGCTTTTCTTTGGGCACAATGGCAAATGAAGGAGCCCAATCTGGCTTACAACACAAGCATCATGTTGCTGCAGATGGAATCTAGATGTCCTATCTAGATTAATGGAATCTAGATGTCCCATCTCAACTGCCCCCAATATCCCTGACACTACTTGTATGTGTTTGAAATTCCTTTTTCAAGAAATAAATCCCTTTTATTCCGTAAGTAAATCCCAAGTGAGTGGAACACGTGCACATTTGGAAGAGCAAAAATGTGACCCGCATAATCAAAATAAACAGGAAAATATTTGAGTGTAAAAAATTCACTAAATCAAAAATAAATATAACATTAAAATATAAATACCCTCATAAATAGAAGATGCCATAAAACATTTAGATTCACCATCCCATTTAAATTAAATGTGATTAAAAATAAGTTTAGAGAAAGGAGAGAGGATCTGTTCAGAAGTCTGAAATCTAGGGGAAAATATGAACTTAAGATGATCAAGTATTTTTCTCCCACTCTCTTTGCAGCAGTATTTAAGTCTTTAAAAGACTATAATTTTTAAAACATATTTGCAACTTTATTCTCTCTTCTCCTTTAACTCCCAAATCCCCTCTACTTGCCATATTTTCCTCTCACTCCCAGTATAGACCCCCATCCAATTTGGTACAAATCAGTCACTCAAGACATGTTTCCATGTATGTAATGATCAATCTTTTCATATCTTTCTAAACTCTTCCTGCCAACCATGGAGCTGACTAAATGTTGAGTACTGAACATTTTAAGTGATACTGAGACAGTCCCCTTGACTTGGACAAACAATCAGGAAGCTTTCCAGGAGAAATGGTTCTATAATTGGAGAAGAGCAGAGGAGGAAGTAGTGACTCTGAAACAGTCACCAGCTGAGCTTTGGAAAGCAAAGTAACAATGAAATCAACCCAATTCATAGCCTCGGTTAAGCAAGTTGGTTCCAAGAGTTGTCATTTCTCCTGTCATTAAGGAAGGGCTTTTGGCCAAGATCACCATTTACCATGACCATAGAATGACAGAGCCATCACGTCAGCACCCCGAGGCCAATCGTCCAGTGTTCCCTAACCTTTGTACCCTTTCAGCCACACTTCCAGCCAGCGAATATTGGTACTCAGTACTTGACTTAAAGGATGCTTTTTTCTGCATTCCCCTACACACAAATCCCAGAGATTGCCTGCCTTTGAACAGCAGGATCCTAAATTGTCCATAAAATACAGTATTGCTGGACTGCATTCCCTCAGGGGTTGGAAGATTCTCTAAAACTGCCTGGTGAAGCCCTGGCCCAACACTTGCAGTACCTGGTCCTGCCCAAGGCTGTGTTACATGTGGATGACCTTTAGGTGACCAGTACCTCCCAACAGGAATCCGACCTTATTACCGGCAAGGTTCTGAATCACTTGGCAGAAAAAGGATATTGAGGTTTCTAGGAACAAAACTCAGATTACCTAAAATATCTAAGCTTTAAAATTGAACAAGGAAAAGGAGCCTGCCCACAGATGGAAAGGCAGCCATCCACAATGCCCCCATCTGAACTCACAATAGCTGTAGAATCCTTGGGAATGGCAGGGCTCTATAAATTTGGATTCCCAACTTCAACCTAATAGCTAAACCTCTACATCAGGCCAAGACAGGGCTTCCCTCCTCAGGGGTAAGAACTGTGATGATACCTTCCAACAACTAAAGCATGCCCTGATAGTTCTGCCACTCTGGGATTGCCCAACCTGGCCAAATCATCTGAGCTTTACATCCATGATAGACAGGGAGTGCCCTTGGAGTCCTTATCCAGTTTCTGGTTACTGTGCCCCAGTCAGTGACCTACTTCTCCAAATAGCTCAACTGGACAGCCAAGAGCTGGCCTCTCTGACTTGGGCAATGACAACCACAATCCTTATGGAAGCAGAAAAACTTTCTTATAATTAACCTACTGCTATCTGGATACCCTGCTAGGCTACCTCCCTAAAAGGAACT